GCAGACATTGTGAAGCCAAGAATGACCAGAAGAGACAAAGAAGGTCACTACATACTTCTCAAGGGGATTTGCAAGATGAAGCAATAATAACCATAAATATATATGCCCCAAATACTAGTTGTTGTAGTCAGGGGTTGCAAGGAGAATAATTACATCCAGGACATATAATTTACAGTATTATTTATAATGGTCACTCAAAGAATCAAATACAAAGAAAGTGCAGGAAATCTGTTCATAACACTAAAGACCTAGAAAATCCAGCTGAGGGTCCGGGACCCATGACACATACCTGCATGAGTTCAACTGAAAACTCATAATACACAGCAATGGCCCATGCAAGTCTATTTCATGGATCTGCGCTGGGAAGGCCCAAAGGTCAGTGGTGGGAGCTAGAAAGTTTAGGCCAGTGGGGTGAAGGATCTGTGCCAGCAGGCTGAGTTCTAGTACAGAACTAGAGCCAAGAAGCGACACTCAAAATAAGGATCAGAGCTCCTCTAAAAAGTATCACAGCCATCCTCAGCAATAGCGAGGTCCTAAGCTCTTCCAAAGATGAGAACAGCCAAGCACATGTCAGGAAGCTAGCATGAAAGACTTCTCCTGGAGATTAAACAGCACACATCTTCCCCTCTGGAGCCAGGAAGCAATGTTCAAAATAAGCACCAGAGCTCCCGCAAAGTGAACCACAGCCATTCTCAGCAACAAGGTTCCAAGCTCCTCTGATGATAACAGCTGAGTTCATATCAGGGAAGCCAGCATGATAAGCTCCTCCAAGAGAACCAATGGCTCCAAACAACAATCAGGAGAACCCACGATGCTATTCTTCCTTTCCAGGTCTTCTTTTTATGCTGGCAAAAGTTCTCAGATGGGCCATCCATGCTCAGTGCCACACTGATCCAGTTCAGCTGGTGCTTAAATTGACCACCATGTACAAATCCACTACATGAGTACACCTAACTGCATAAAACAAATACTAACGAACATAAAAAATCAAATAAGCACTAACACAATTGTAATGCAGGACCTTAATATCCCACTTTCACAAACAGATTAACTAGACACAAATCAACAAAGAAATATCAGAACTAAACCAAGCCTGGGAAAAACTGGCCTAGGAGATGTGTACATAGTGTACCCCACTCTTCTCTGTTACATGGGAAACATTCTCCACATACTAGCCCTCAGAACATGTTTAAGTAACTGCATATGAACTGAAATAATCCCAGGAATATTTTCAGACCATAGAGCAAGAAAAACAGAAACCAATGGCAAGATAAACCACAAAAACTCCATAAATGCATGGAATTGAGCAACACCTTCAGAAACAACCAATAGGGAGCAGATGAAATTAAAGAAGAAATTAAACAGTATTTATAATTAAATGATAGCACTGACACAACATTCTGTAACTTACGGGTCACAAGGAAAGCAGTCCTAAGGGAGAAGGCTATAATAATGAATTCTCACATCAGGAAAACAGAACGAGGTCAAACAGCCTAATGCTGAGCCTCAAACTTAGAGGAAAAGAACAAATCAAACCCAAAGCTCATATGAGGGAGAAAATTATACAGCCAAGTGCAGAAATTAATGCAACTGAAACTAAGAAAATGATACAAAGAATCAATGAATCAATGAGTTGGTTCTTTGGAAGACTAACTGATAAATCCTTAGCCAACCTTATCAAATAGAGAAAAGAAGACTGAATTTCATGCAATTCAGAATGATGGTGAGACCACATGGATTCAGAGGAAATCCAGATGATCATCAGTATCTACTCCAAGAACTGGTAATCTAATAAGATGGAAAATACAGAACAAATGGACAGATTCCAAGATATATATGAATCACCAAAGCTGAATTAAGAAAATATAAAAACTTTAAATAACCCAATGTCAGTTAATGAAAATGTAGTTAAAAACTTACCAACAAAGAAAAAAAAAATGCTGATAGATTCACTACTAAATTCTCCAAGAAATTTAAAGAAGATCTAATCTTACTTCTCAAACTCTTTAATGAAATTGAAAGACAAACTATGCTCCAAACAGAATTTCAATAAGCAAGTATTTCCCTGATACCAAAATTAGAGACGGACTCAACTAAAAAAGAAAACTACAGGTCAATTTCCCTAATGAACATAGACATAAAAATCCTCAATAAGACACTGGTGAACAGAATGCTTCAAATCATCAAAAACAAAATTATATGCCATTATATGCTCATGGCAGGTAGGATTCATCCCAGGAATGCAGGGATGGATCAATATAGGCAAATCAATAAATGTAATAGACCACAATCATCTTAATAGATGCAGAAAAAGCATTGGACAGTCACGATAAAAAACCTATAGAAATTTGGAATAGATGAGCTTTATCTCAATCTGATTAAAGGTAACCAACAGCCAACATCATAATAATGATCAAAAACTAAAAGCTCTCACTCTAAAATCAGGAACAAGACAAGGATGTCCACTGTCATCACTCCTACTCAACACAGATCTGAAAATATTATATAGAGCAATTGGACAAGAAAAAGAAATAAGGATAGTAAATGAAGTTATCATTATTTGTAAATGACATGATACTCTACATAGAAGACCCTAAAAATACCAAAAGACTTCTAGATTTTTTTTTTTGTCTTTTTCCTTTTTATCGGTACCGGGGATCAAACTCACGACTGCCTGCTTGCAAGGCAGGTGCTTATGCCGCTGAGCTAAATCTCCAGCCCCAAGACTCCTAGATTTAATAGAGTAGCTAGATACAAAGTCGAAACTCAAAAATCAACAGCATTCCTGTTACAAACAACAAATACATTCACAGAGAAATTAGGGAAACAATACCTTTCGAAATAACATCAAAAAATACTTAGGAAAGAAAGTTAAAGGAAGTAAAAGATCTATACAATGAAAGTTATAATATTCTGAATACAGAGATCAAAGAGGACAGCAGAAAATGGAAAGCTACAGCTTGCTCATGGGTAGGAAAAACCAACATATTGAAAATGGCCACACTCACATAATTGTTATACAAATTTAATGCAATCCCAATAAAAATACCATTAGCATACCCCACAGAAATAGAGAAACACTCCTCAAATTCATTTGGCACCAGCAGTAACCTAGAATAGCAAAACTAATTCCAGGTAACAAAGGCAAGTCAGGGGGCATCACAATCCCTGATGTGAAATTATACTACAAAGCTACCGTTATAAACACAGCACAATACTGGCCAAAAAACATACCTGAGGATCACATTAGAAGGTGGAACAGATTAGAAGATGCAGAAACAACTCGAAACACACTCAGCTACTTCATACTTGACAAAAGGGCAAAAGACATTAACTGGAAGAAATATCAGCTCTTAAATAAATGGAGCTCGAAAAACTGGCTTTCCGCATACTGAAGACTAAAACAAGATCCATGTCTCTTATCATGCACTAAACTAAAATTGATATAGATCAAAGTTCTAAATATTAAAATACAAATATTAAGTCTGCAGAAGAGAGAATAGGTAGGACGCTTGAATACATAGGTGTAGGCAAAGATATCATGAACAAAACCCCAATGGCATGAGAAATACTGCAAAAAATGAACAACTGGGATCTCATCCTATTAAAAAGCTTTTGCACAGCAAAAGAAATCACCAACAGAATGAAAAGACAATCCACTGAGCAGAAAATAATTTCAGCCAGTTGTCCTTAAGGCAAAGGACTGACATCTAGAACACAGAAAGAACTGAGAAAAAAAAAAAAAAAATCAAATAGACCCTCCCCTAAATTTACAGACCCAATCCAAAAATGGGATCTGAGATGAACAAAAAGATGTAGTATTTTTGTAGATAAATTCGAGACATTTTTTAGGTAGATTGGTGTCCCTGTAGGCCATATTCTGACACACATTTGTAAATGCAGCATTGTCTCTCTGGTGTGAGAAATCAAAAGAGTAAATAAGGACCAAAATGTAAAATAGATACTGTGAAATGGGAAGAAAATTTCCAGAAGGAAAGAAGAACTAGGAAGCGGGGAGAGGAAAAATTAAAAAAATAAAAGAAGGAAAAAATGGAAACAAAGGAAGAGGAAGAGGCATGGAAGAGAGGGAGAGGACTGAGGCAAAAAAAAGGAAGATATACCATGTACAGGGCTGGGGATTTAGCTCAGCGGCATAAGCACCTGCCTTGCAAGCATGCAGTCGTGAGTTCGATCCCTGATACCAAAAAAATATACAATATACAGGTACAACATCCCTATGATGAATGTAACCATTATGCATATCTAAATTAACTTAATTAGTAAATATTATCTTGGGGGTGTGGGCATGGGGGTGTACACTTGTCATCCCAGCACTTGGAGGCTGAGGCAGGAGTATCACTGAGACTTAAGGGTGTCATGAATGGTGCATGGCTAATTAAGCCCTACCCAATGTGTGTACAGAAAGTAGATGGGTTATGAGAATGTGTACAACGCAGGACATCATTCCATGAGTCCAGAGTCACAGTTTTCAGAATGATGCATTTTCTTGAAAGTGGGAAGTTATTTATTTTCTGCAGTCATCTCTGCGGTTAACATTTAAGCTTCAGAGAGCAGCATCTTCCAGAAAGTGCAGGACAGATAAGGTGACTCAGGAAACATTTAAAAGGCAAGCAAGAAAAGAAACAACTTAAGTCAAGGCTCATGTGTATCTAAGTTTTTCACATGACCTAGAATTTACTTTCTGGGACTCAGATATCACACATTAAGCTTCCCAGAGAAATGAAGGTCATTTTCTCTTTGTCCACCATGTAAGGTCACTAGAGGTAATTCAAGGCTGCTTTCTTGTCTAGGTCACCATCAAAAACCCCAATTCCTTGGTTCATCTTAAACTCTTTAGAGATGTAAACAGGCAACCTGGGTAACACTTAGGTCAACTAGAGCTCACCAACAGAGCTTAAAGAGAACTTCAGTGAACAAAACAGGGAACCCCTGAGGGCTCCCCAGTCTGTCTCCGGAGACAGGAGCAAAGAGGGAGGTACCCTGCAAATCTCCACTCTGTTGGCAGCCTCCTCCATCTCTTCCCTGAGGGCATCAGCTTTGGCACCCGCAGGCTGTAAGGTGCTGGACAGACCTGAAGACTTGGAAGTCTGCTGCCACCTGATGGAAAACAGGAGAAAAAGAAGAGAGATGTGAGACAGCCAGAGCCCTTAGGAGATTCCGGGGATGCTAGGGAAACACCTGCTTACAAATATCACCCAGAGAACAATATGCTCTGACTTGAAAGGAAAGGGGGTGAAGAGTACCAAGTACTTCACCAGGAGAATGGGGCTCCCATTTGCACACTGTGACAGGTTGGCAAAGCAGAACACACAGAGAACGGGCATTCTTCAGCCTGCCACACTTCCCCTCCTCATCCTCACAAGGAGGGCAGACAGCCATCACTGTTTGATGAATGCTTCTTTTTTATTTGAGTTAATGTTATTTTCCATTGGCAAATTGTGACTGTATACAAGTATAGGTCACAATGTGGGGTGATTAAAGCAAGCTAATTAGCACAATGTGGGGTAGCTAAATCAAGCTAATTAGCACAATTATCACCCCACATTTTCCTTGGTGCTGAGGGTCAAATATAGAGCCTTGTGCATACTAGGCAAATGCTCTATCACTAAGCTATACCTCCTAGCAACTCACATCATCTGCAATGAGACCTATGAAATTTAATCAGGCAGATTGGCATTAAAATAATATATCATATATTTCACAGTAATTACCACCGTCTCTGTCATTTACATGCCCTATGGGCACTTGAGTTCACAAATTCACTGATTTGGCTGGAGCCGATAGTGTAAGCTGAACAGGAAGAGATACCAACAGGATTAGAAACGAATCTGAAAGTCAGAATCTCTACCGATAAATATACATCCAAAAATCTTTATGCTAACATTTAAATACTTCACTTATATTTAAAATATATCTTTGTGGAGAGAATCCTGGTTTCTGAAAAAAAAAATACTCAGAAACCGTTAAGGGGGACGGACCAGTACTCCTGGTTGCTAGGTCATCATCAGGAATTTCCAGAAGCAAGACATAGAGAAGTATCCAAAGACACTGAAAGCCAGTGGCTAGATTGAGGCTCAGCAGTGATTCCTCCTCTGGTGAGTTTGTGAACTCTGGCTGACAGGGGCCAGCAAGTAGAAAACATAAGCCACGCGGCCATTAGCTTAAGAACTAGTCCATGGGGTCTTGTCTCTTTGCCTGTAAAAAGGATGTGTGACACAGACCTATCTTCACACTGTGATAATAGCATAATCAGGGTGGCAAGTGGCAGCTAAGCCTGGCTCTGGTCTCCAGAAAAGGCTCAGGAAGTGGGTGTGGTGGGGAGCTGCCTTAGAGAAACTGATCCCCAGCTGAGGCAGGAGGATCCCAGGTAGGAAGGTGCACTATGGGTTGCTACAAGCTTTAACTGACAAGAGAGAGCTGGGGATTTAGCTCAGTGGCGTAAGCACCTGTCTGGCAGGTGCAAGGTTGTGAGTCTGATCCCAGGTACCAAAAAAACAAAACAAAATAGGTAAGAGAATTTGGAAATTTTCCCGTAAACTCCCCTGAAGAAATGGGACAAGAGAATAATTTCTCCTACACACCAGGAAGGTAAGAAATGTTCAGACCAGATAGGGCAGCTCTGTGGGCTCAGCCTCTCAGTTCATCAGCGTGGCAAAAAATTAGCAATGTGAAAAGATTCTCTCTCACTTAAACAATGCAATAATCCCAAAACCACTTGAAAAAGCCTGTGAGACATCCAGCTGACTTGATGTTCCAGAGATAAGCACATATCTTGGGAAGCATTCCTGATCCCAAGATAAGAATTTAGGGCAAATTAGAATGGAAAAATTCTACCCAAAGGGATTTCAAAATCTAAATGAAAATATGCTAGCAAAAAGGACTCCTAGGACTCTGAGTTATTCTTTCTTACAAAGCTTTGCTTGACTCAGTGATACAGTTGATTAATACCTCCCAGGTTAAACTATTTCATTCAAGTGTGGTGTTTTGTGGGTTTTTTGCAAATAAAATATGAGATGCCACAGCTATAATTTATATCTGAGACAATAAATATATCTCCATGGTGATTATGGGATTCAGTTACAACCGCCATCTGTTCATATTACCTGAAGAAATAACAAACAACCAATATGTAAATATATACTATAACACTAACCTGATTTTTTGTGGCTTGGCTTTGCAAATAGGTACTGGATTTTTTTTTTTTTTTTTAAACTGGCATTATATTTAGTGCATGTAAAATAAAAAGAAGACATTTTCCTCAAGTTAACTTTTTTCCCCTATTTCCCTCTAAATTTTTCTCTTTCTGTCCCTTAGTCAGTATCTTGGTACTTTAAAAAACATACAACTTGGGCTGGGGGTTTAGCTCAGCGGCATAAGTGCCTGCCTTGCAAGCAGGCGGTCGTGAGTTTGATCCCCGGTACCGATAAAAAATGAAAAAGACAAAAAAAAAAAAAAAAATACAACTTTCCCTTTCTCACAGGGAACTGTACTTGCAACGTTTAAGAAATCCATTTTGACACAACATGATGACAGCAAGAGGCCAAAATAATGCTCCCTTTGTGAAAAAAAAAAAGTAATAAAAGATCAAGGAGAATTTGGGAAAAAATTGTACTAGTAATTGGTTGGGAAAACCATAAATCATTTATTTCAAGGTGTGATCCTTTCAATTGCCTGTTCCACAAATAAACTCAGAGGTTGCAGTGTTCAACAGAAATACTAAGCATTGTCCAAGAAGTCTGAGCTTTGACCATCAAAGAGAAAGTTTTTCCCACTAAAATAGCTCATGTGACACCCTTGTTCTCTGGGGACAGAAGCCATTGACTACATAATCTTGAGAAATAAAGACTGGACACAACTTTCAATAGGCTGCGGGAGAGAAACAGGTAAGAAAAAGCATGGGGAGTTTTAGCAAGTGAAGAAGGGGGGTCAGTGTAAGATCAGCTTAGCAGGGCTGGGGATTTAGCTCAGCGGTATAAGCACCTGCCTTGCAAGCAGGAGGTCGTGAGTTCGATCCCCAGTACCGAAAAGATCAGCTTAGCAAAAAAAGAAGTCCAGAAGGAGAGTTTTTGGTAAGCTAATAGGGAAGTTGCCTCAGTGTGGGACATTTGTGGTTTCACCTGTCTGTTTTCCTTTGCTCCGCCACCAGGATCCCCCACATTTGGAGTACCTGCATCTGCTCCTGCTGTCCTGCATGGTCCAAAAGAGAGATGCCATTTTTTGCAGGACCCAGGCAGTGAATAGCCTAGGGAGGGCTCCAGAGGTAAGCCACAGCCCGGGCCATCTTTCATCACCTCTGCCAAGCGTCAGGCCAAGGAAGTGAGCAGGTAAGGTACAAATGGAGCTCCCCCTTTGCACTGGTCGAACTGGAACAAAAAGAAGGGGCTCCCACTGGAGAGACATGAGACCAAGGGACATTCAGTCACCAGGAAACAAGTGCTGTAGACGTAAGGAAAAGACCTGTGTGGAGGGAAGGGGACGTGAGAGGTACTTCTGGTCCCAGAAGTACTCAAGACTGCCACGACTCCACAATTCCACCAGACTTCTGGATAACTCCTTGCATTTCATGTGCTGCCCAGTATGCTTCCCTAAACACTATGTCCATTACTTTGTTTTCTTCCAAAGGAAGCAGGTGTATTAGTCTGCTCAGATTTTCATAAGCAAGTGCCATGGGCTGAATGGCTTAAACCACAGAGGTTATTTCCTTGTAGTTCTGGGCGTTGGAAGTCCAAGATCAAGGCTCCAGAAAGCTGGTAAGCTATCTCTTTCTGACCTGTGGACAACTCCTATTTCACGATGCTCCCCCACATCATCTTTCCTCTGGGTGCATTAAGGAAACGGACATCTCCTCAGTATAAGGCTGCCAATTATACCAAATGAGGGCTCCGCCCTTCTGCCTTATTTAAACTTAATTATTCCCTGAAGATCCTGTGTCTAAATACAGTCACACTGGTGGTTAGGACTTCAATAGGTGAATTTTGCGGAAATAGGATTCACTCAGTAAAACCCAGTAGCAGCTGTTGAACAGAAACAGAGCGTGTTCTGGACTCAGAGGGTTAAATGTGCAGTACATGTAGAGGGAAAAGTGAGGTGGTTTTAGGAAAGCACAGACCTCCTTCTTCAAGCACTGCCTACTCGAAACTGGTGGCAGGAAGGATGATTCTGTGCCATCACATTCTTTCCAACTCACAAGCCTTCATTCAGCACAAACTTCCTAAGTTACCTCTGTTCTTCTCATTAATTGTGTTGACTAATTTTGACCTCTAATTTGATTGGCTTAGGGGATGCCTAATAGATTAGTAAAGCACACACATCAGAGTATGACTGGGTGAGTCACGGAGGTTTGATTTGGGAACCCTGTATGGCCTTTTCCTCCCTGGCTCTTTTCTTGCCCCCCACTTCCCAGATGTCAGGGGTCAAGTAGCTTTTTCCCATCATGCTGTTCAGCCATGATGCTCCTCCCCTGAAGGCAGGTGACCATGGACCGAAGCTCTGAAGCTATCAGGCAAAATAAACCTCTCTGTAAAGCTGAGGGTCTCAGGCATTTTGTCCCAGCAAAGAAAAGCTGCCTAATAAAATAATCTTTTATTCATCTTCAAAGCAGCAATTTTCTCTGAGGGTCTTCAAGTCCGTTTCATTGGATTTTGAAGCAGAAAACCCAGACTGACTTGAATGGTGATAAATATGCACATTTGATTTAGACCACATTAAACACTGAATAAATCAGCTGGATGAATTCAGTACTTGCTAGAGTTGCAGGAGATTTCAAAGATCCAGTCATGGAACTGTTGGTCAATTTGTGCTCATAATAACAGAAGAATCCTGCTTGTCTTGAAAAGCAGTGTCTCCATGTGAAATACATAATTTAGTTCCAGACAGTACAGTTTACAAAGGTCGTATGTGACTCAGCCTAATTTTTGTAGTTTCAATCAGGATGCTGCAAAGATGAGAACCTAATAGGTACAGCTGGCTTCTTGGAGAAAAACAATATAGGGTAAGGGTGGGGAGGCTGAGAACTTAACTGCTTCAGGAGAGCACTTGGTGATCCTTGCTATTTCATATTAGTCTGAAATTTGGTCTGAATGTCACCACTGTGTCCTGGGAGAGAGTATTCATGTATTTAAGGTTACAGTGTTCCAAGAAAAGGCAAGAAGCTAGAATAAATTGGTTTTTTCTTCTAGCTTGCAGTAAGGTCCTGCAAAACAGATGCAGGCTAGAAGTTGCTAGTCAGACAGCTCAGTTAGAAGAAAGAGAATGTATTTGCTAAGAATGATCCTTTCACCCTAGAGCTTTCTGTCTCAGCAGATTGGACAGTCCGTAACTTGGAGGCTTAGGTTACACCTTCTACCAGCCACTATGGCAGAGACATGAAAGAAATCCTTCCAAAGTAATCCCTATCTCCCAACTCGCAACTACACAAAGTGGGCTATGAAAAATCCACTATAAAGAACATGGATCAGGTTTATGTGAAGATAACCTAAAAGGAGTTCTTTTAGTCCAAACAACAAGGGCTACAAACAGTCCGATCAGAAGGTTATAAGCACAGAAAGATAGGTGGTGTGTGTGGACTTCCTTATCAGATTCTAGGATATAGGAGATGATAACTTCAAGATATGAAAAAGTTTGATAAGTCATGGATAAAGGGTCCCTAATGGCATTTCCCTCGGGTTTTAGAACCTACAAGCATCTTGGTGTCACCATCAAACACAACATCAGATAACTCTGACCATGGTTATAACTTCAGGTTTACAGAGTAACTGCAGCAAAGAGTCATGCATGCCGTCGGCTTCAAAAGAAGGTTGAGAGCCAGAGATTTAGCTCAGTGCCTGTTTGACAAGTGTGAGGTTGTAAGTTTGATCCCCGGGACTCCACCCAAAGAAGGTTGAGTGCCACCTAAGAATCAGAAATGTTCCCCTCACAGATATATCATCCATGCTATCTCTTGAGTAACTCTCTTGATAACTCTTTTTCTCATAAGCAAATTAAACAAAATCATGTAAGTGGAAATGGTAATAAAATATGCTTCAATACCAGCATCCTGCCCTGTAATCAGAAGTGCCATGCTAGAAATTCAACTTTTCCTTGCAGAAGCAAAGACCTCAGGTTTCTACAAAAGGAAATGACTCCACAAACCCAGAAGCATAGTCTCTACCTGTTACTTTCATAGCAACATGATAATCAACACCACCTCAAGCAGCTTACAACTCCCAAAATATGACACATGAATTTCTGAGTTACAGGATATAATTTGAGAAAATCCAAAGGTGTCCCAATAACAGTAAATCCACACTCCTCACTCATCCTGCTGTCCATCCCTCCAGTGTGACTAAGGAGACGGACTCAGACTTGTTTCAGGATAATCTGAACATCCCTCCAATGCCTTGCCTTCCTCCTCTTTCAGAAAGGAAGCAAGCCTTTCACAGCCAACAGGAACTAAAACTGACTAACACTGGCTTTGCTCTCATCCTGTTCATTTTTAAGCTTGTCTAATATCTGTAGCAATAGGCACTGCTGTCCGGTTTACGGCAGTGCCGTGAAACGTCTTTCTAAAATAAATTTAGTTTGAAACAGTCATCAGCTTTCAAAAATGATGTTTGGTACAAACTGCAAAACTCAATCAGCTAGACTTTAGTTTGAGAAATACAGTAATTTAAAGAAATTCCTATTTCTCTGCTGATATAGTTTTATTTCTAAACACTGAGAAAATGCCTAATATATCTTATTCTTCCAGACGCAGAATTCCAGTGCACCAAGTAGTTATAGGACGGGATTCCTTTTGTACAGCACTAGTGAAATACTGGACCATTTTGATATTGAAAACGACCTCTTTGTGTGAAACCGTGAGTGCTGTTTTCTCCTAGGCACAGGTAAGGAAACGGATATTGCAGGAGCCTAAGTGATTTGATCTAGAACACAGATCTAGGAAACAGCTGATCTGGTTTTTGGCATCTGACCTTATGAGTCCTGTTACAAGACTTTCTCGTGCATCTTTCTGACTAAGCACACTCAAGTTTGTTCCCTTGTTTCAAAGGAGGAGATGATTAGGACTGACCTACAAAAGACAAGCTAGAATCAAATAGTTCCTTTCATACCAATACTGATAAACTTGTATTCTTTCTGCTTTCATGAAGCATATACACACACCCCACTGTAAGAATAAAGGGCAAATAAATATGCACAGTCTTGATACATGATAGCCATAGCCAATGCCAGTTCAGGCCGTAAGAACTCCGCTGCCAGAGGAATTTTCTAGTGGATTCTGACAGACATGTGCAGAAGGACAGCCTGTAGGAACTTTAAGACTATCAAAAAGGCCAAAGGTTTACAGAGCGTCTACAGAAAGATGTCTATGCCATTAGCTTCAGGAAAAGGGGAGTGCTTCTTCAGAACTGCAAATGCTCCCCCATTATAGACAACACATCCATCCCCCCTCTTGGGTCTTACTTATACCTTTCACTTCTGCCAAGCAGCGTTTCTTAAATACGCCAACTTATTCCCTCTTCAATGTCCTTCCATAAGCTATTTCCTTTGCTACACATAGCACCAGAGCTTTGCATAGGTGCCTGTGCCTGATTGATTTATCTCAGACCAAGCGATAGCTACTCAAAAATTATTTTTTAACTTTCCTCACCATTTACTAATGTCTCTTTCTCCATTATTTCTGTCCAAAGAAATCCCGTGTTATTTTCTTCATATGACTATGGCTGTCTAAAATTATCCTGTTTATTTACTTGGCCAATGGGTATCTTCAACATTCAATTGCAGCCTTCACAAGAGGAAGAAGCCAGCATCTGTGGTCCACTATTACCATCAGTGCTTAGTGAACAGCATGTGTTTTAAAAAAAAATAACCTAGCGAATGGGAAGAGAGTCTCCCACGCACAAACCCAACCTACCCCCACATGTGACTACTGTCCTTTCAAAGAAGCAGAAATGAAAACAAGAAACTCTACCTGGTTCGTGAAGAGTCCATGTCCAGCACCAACTTTGCTAAATGTTTCCTCTGCTTTTGAATATTTGGGATTTCCACCTGTGGTGAACGAGACAGGATGTAATCAGACCAAAGCTCAAGGGAAGTCCATTTAGAACTACACTTCTGAACAGTTTTTTAAGAGCTATGGAACACTCAGCCGCAAGTTTGCCCAAAGTCTTCCAATCTTTATAATCAATGAAAACCCCTCTCTGCATCACTGAGGCACAACGATAAACAAAGGACAGCTGTATATACTCCAGGCGTAAAATGCTATTTTGGTATGGCACTGAGAAATTATTACTACAATCAAACTGATGAGCATATCACCTCATATGACTATTGTCTTTGTGTACACATGTACGTGTACTCACTTGTGCATATGTGACAAAAACATTTAAAATCTACCCTCTTGGCAGATTTCAAATACACACTGCCCTCCTGTGAGCTATAATTACACCACATTGACAGTTACACCTGCAGATTAACTCATCTTGCACAGGTGAAAACTGGGTACCCTCTGAGCAGTGCTAGAGGTCATTCTTGATTCTTTTCCTGCGTTGGCTTCTCCTGCCAATCCCATCAGCTCAGACCATCTCAGAGGATCTGTACAGGCCTGCTCCCCCAGACCTGGCCACAGCCCTGCTCTTCTTGCAGCCAGCAAAAACAGGGGCTCAAACCCATCCCCCTCTACTTCTGTAAGGGTCAAAAGCAGGGAAAATGAAGAAATCAAGCAATCACACCTGGCATGCAGAAGTCATATATCTATCCTAACAAAATTGAAGAGCAAAATTGGAGGCTCACCAGCCTCAGGAGACCTAAGATGCTGTGAAGAATGCTAATAGGACATATACTGCCTACTGATAGAAACGAGTAAGCATATTTGTATGTTTGTTGAAATAACGTAAGACTCCCAGAGGGAATCATGACTAAGCACTGCCATTATGGCTTTTCTCAGCAATGAGTCCTTCCATATTGGTTGCGTGTAGATGCTCTTTTTATATTTTTCTTTCTAAAAATGACTTCCCTGAACATTCCAGTGTAGGATTTTGGTTCCAGGCCCAGCAAAAGTAGGGCAGGATGTGAGAATTAAAAAGGAAAATTGGCCATAAATTGAACTAAAAACATCTCAGGCTCTGTGTGTGTGTGTGTGTGTGTGTTTGTGTGTGTGTGTGTGTGTGTCTGTTTATAAGGGGAAAATGTGAGGAAAGCCCAGTGTTCTATAAAGTGCTTTCTATTCACTCCACGAAGCAGGAATTAGTGACGTACTATGGGCAGTCACTTTTGCTAGGAAGAAGCATAGCTATTTACGGGAGGACAAGTCCACACAGAGCCCCCAGACAGGGCTGGGGACACATGCGTACCCACATGATCTCCAAGACATTTACAGCTCTGCTTCTGGATGATCCCTGCCCTGAGTTTGCTTCTGGGTTTGGTCAGAGCCTCAGACCACCTTATGAAGGGTTAATAAGAATGTTCCTGGCTATGGAAAACCTACCAGGGGGTGGAATCTGAGAAGCCCAGAGCTGGTCTATATCAATCTATGCCAAAGCATCACACCTAGGATTTCTCACTGATTGCATTTTAGCATACTGTAATTGTTTATCTATACCTTTGTCCCAGAAAAGAGTGCCAGAGTAGGTGGAAGTAACAGAAGTGGTCCAGAGAGGAAACAGACGTGGTAGAGGGCAATGCTGTCCCAACAGTGGCCTCTAATCATATATGGCTATGCAATGCTCATGAAATTAACAAAAGTAAACTCCTGAGTCACAGTGAACACCTTCCAAGTTGCTACAGCTACATGAGGCTTGAGGCTACCAAACTCTGCAGAGACAGAATGTTCTCCTCATGGCAAAGGGTCCCCGAGGAGTACACTGCTTAGGTTCTGTATGACCAAATAGAGGGTCCGGCTTCCAGGTAAATAAAGCCGCCCAAACAACTTTCTGTCTCCTTTGATATAATTTCACTTGGTGGAAGCTAGCAAAACTGGCATACAGATGTTAAGATAACTTTTTAATAAAAAAATCTAATTCACTGTTTATTATGATCCAAAAAGAAAAGATCTATATAAAAATCAACTTGTGAGAGTTTGGCAGGGGCTCTTGGACTCAGGTTCCCCAAGTCCTTCTGTGGAGGCATCGCTGACTTCACTGAAGAGTCAGGATGGGGCAGGGTGGTACTTGGTTACAGAAAATTGCTATACAACCGGCCAGCTTTGCCGCCATAGTTGGGAATCTTGACAGTGGGCCTGGGTGATAATGATACTCAATGAAAACCAATGTCAGGGACTACAGTCCAGGAAGCAAACGAGGCTGGGCGCAGAACCCAAAGGCTTCTGAGCTGCACTCCACGGTCCCTCAGGCCCAAGTCTTACCTCGGCCAGCAGAAACAGGGGCTCGATCACATCCCTTTCTACTTGCAATTCAAAATGGATCAGCTCCTGAGCCAGCTTGTCCTCTGTCTCTCCACAGAGCTTCAGCATCTTCCTGCAACCAAAGGGGGGGAAACACACAGAACGTTCTTGAAGACATTCAGCCTGAGGTCTGCTCTCGTCACTACCTTGCTCTGGCCAATGTCAACATTGCTGGTGACAGTACTCCTCCCACTGTCTTCAATTCGGTAATTACTAATTCTTCTAAACGGGGCTGAATACTTATCATGCGTCTGGGACAAAGGGGTCCATGTGGAGAAAACAGACTGACACATGTCAAGTCCACAGACGTAAAACGTCAGGTGTTTCTCTCCCCTGGGAGCCTTGGAGAAACTGGCTGAGATTGAGCCATTAACATACCATCATCTCCTAACATAGACCCCAAATTCACTTTTGATAGCCCCTAAATAGAAAAAAATACCCTCTTATTCTAAGCCATGAAAAACTAGTTAGTCCAGCTGGGGTTACTTAGCTTAGTGGGTAGCTAATTTTCCAATAAAAAAAAGCAGCAAACAGTAAAAAACTTGAATGAGCAGAGAGATTATATCTCCAGGTAGGATGGCAGACCATTTCAAAGACGTTAATTACTTTTCAATGGCATTCTTCTTTTGCACTATATCTTACTAACCAAAAATCATGTAAAAAGTTTTTACAAATCAACAAATGTATAAGCCAAGGTAATGGTTATTCTGAAGTGAGTATATCTCTTTACTGTTCCTACCCCAGTGTGTTTACATACAGCATATAATACTGCTATTAAAAAGTGTTCACAGATGGTTTTACACTCAATATATCCTTACACAACTTGCTTTTGAAATGTCCTATTATTTGGAGGCCCATCCGTGTTGAAACACACAGAATTAATTATTCTCCTCTATGGAATCTTCACTCTTATGAGCACATAGATATGATTATATATGCCTCCATGTATTAAGCTTTCCCACAATCAAGAGTTTTAAGCAATTTCATGCAGTGCCACAGTATAGATATTTATGCCTTTTCTTCTTGCTTCTATGAGAATTTCACAGAAATATGAAAGTTTTCTTAATCCCGTACTCCTGATGGTCCTCTGTACTGGTAGGTGTCTTGATTTCTGCCAAACTTGTTGAAGCAAAGTAGTTTTCATTCTGATTTTTAACTGCTCTGCCTTGACTACAAGTGAGATTGGGTATCTTTTCAGATGCTTTGGGCCACTCAAGAGGTTTTTTTTTTGTTGTTGTTGTTCACAGATGCCCACTATTATCCCTTGGCTAATTTGAATTGGGATTTATTTTTTATTTCGGTTCATTTATAGTAATTAGTCACATATTTTTTCATAGGTAGGTGAATAAGGAATGGAATCGAACTCCATTTCATTTTGCTGCAAATATCAATGCCTAAGTTGTGGTTTTATCGTTGTGACCTTTTAACAGTGTCTTTTATCTCATTTCCTTACCCTTACCTCCATATTTTAATTCCCTTTTTTCCTGCTATACTAAAGAATGAGGGGCATTCACAATAAACTATGTGCCCTTCTCAGTACCCCTATTCCACTTTTTAAAACTTTTTTATTTTGAAACAAGATCTCACTAAGTTGCCCAAACTTAAGCTAGACTCAAACTTGTGATCCTCCTGCTCCAACCTTTCAGGGCACTGGCACAGGGCTTAAAGCTAACATACAATTTTAAATATTAGATGTTGATTCTAAACCACAGAAAGTAAAGATTTAGCTATGCTTATATTTCCCTTCCTTCCATTTGTATTTATCAGTAGATTTCCACTGTTTGTATTATTTGTATTGTTATATTACGGGTTTGAATCTTCCTAACCCTCAAATTCAAATTTTTGAAAGTTTGCATCGTGTACCATTTCTGATTTTTCAGACTAGGGATTTTCAACTGGTAAAGTTTACACAAACGATTCAAATCCAGGCAAACATCTAAAATACGAAAACTGGTTCCAACCACAGCAGAGGAGGGACAGTGAACTGGACTTGGCATTAAGCTGGAACTATGCTATGATTATTTCTCTTCCCTGAACATTTATTTATTCTTGCTGGAGTTCATAAGCACCTTGTTTCACTCACTTCCTGTGTGCTTGATGAAACTCAAAATACCCCGTCACTTCTCTAACCTGTTTCCTAAGATGCCAAAGCAAACTTGATGTGGATGAATTGCATCTTGAACTAGTCTCTCCCGGGAATGCATTAGGAAGAGGATGAAGTGTCCTTTAATCTGTGGGGCACACCTGTCTCCCTGGGGTCAGGTTTCACATCTCTTGGGATTCCTTCTCTCTGTCCTATGTTAGAATTGTGTCATTCTATGCTGGCTTCTTTCTCAGTGATTCCTTCATTAAGAGCACACTGTGCCTTGCTTTCCTAAGAAGAGAGTGGAGTCAAGTCTTTGGATGACATTTGTCACAACATTCTCCATGTCCCCCAGTGACTGGCTCTTGGGCAGGACACTGGATTCTATCCTGAACATCCTTTCCTTCAGAATTTTGAAGGCACTGTTCAACACCCTAACTGCCTCTTATTGTTACTTCTGGTTAAGTCTGCAAGATTCATAATTCTGATCCTTTATAATGTAGAAAAATTTTTTCTAGAAGGCTGTAGAATGTTTTGTCACCTGTATTTACGTGGATACACCACAGTGCAAGTTTAATTTTTCCATATATTCAGAGTTCACTAGACCCTTTTTGGTACAGAAACTCGTGTTTCTTAAGTTTGGAAAGTGCTTTTGCATCACTTTTTGTGATAATAGTATTATTTTCCCCCCTTTTCTAAGAACTCCTGTTTTTAGGCACAGGTCTTCCTGGATTGGGGCTCTAATTTTCTAAGATTTTTTATTTGCATGTCTTTGAATTCTTGCTTCATTTTCTGGATGATTTCCTCTCATTTATTTTCCAAAGCTCCTACTGAGAACTTTGTATGTTTTCCTGTTTTCATTTCTATGAGCCTGCTTTGGATCGAAATCTTTTTCCCTACAACATTAGGTACTAGTATCTTATAATGTCACAGATATATTATTTTCCCTTACTGCTTGAAAACCTAAGTGGTAACTTCCCTGAGATTTCTCCTCCCTTACATAATCTGTATTTCTTCCAAACTGTACCACACAACACACACACAACCTTGTCTGTTTTCTGTGATTTAGGTCAGAAACTTCCTTTAGTGGACTAGTGGTCTTTGGCTGGGCCATGCATCAGTACACTGCAGTACTCAAGACATCTTTTGGAGCTTTCTGGAGCTTCCTTCTGGACTGCTCAGATTTCTTAGAGACATCCCTTCTAAATTCTTGCCTAGGGCCATGATGAGCAGGGAGGAGGGCTGAGAAGCCGCCGTTGCATCTGTTAGGTCAGCATCTTTTGACCCTCCTGTTCACTGACTGGTGATCCTATGATCTCCGTCCTCCATTCTGGTGATGCTTCCTTTTACTTATTCTAGAGATCAAAGCTCCAGATCCCTGCTGGGAAGACAGCAGGGAAAATGTCTCTCAGAGGTGTAGCTGGCCAACTCAGTGATCCTAGTGGCATCTGGAAAGCCCTCGGCCCCCATTCTTTATCTAATCACCCACTCCACTCCAAAGACTCAGCGTTCCCAAGGCTTCTGGTGCACTAATTCCTGGATACCATCAGCATTTCACAGCGTACATTATGTTAGCTCTCCACACATCCCACTTCTGGATTGGGTGTCAGATGTCTGGGACTCACCAAACCAATTCCCAGTTATCCTTATGATTTCAGAGTTCACAAAATTACACTGCGAGCATCTTTTATCCCGTTTTTCCTGCCATTGTGGGTCTAAGTCTTTTCAAACAAAAGGAACTCCTTTCATATTGTAGGTTTGGTGGATTTTGGCAGGCAGAAAAATCAGATGTGTGTTCAGTCTCATCTTTATTTCCAACCTGGCTGCGTCACAGGGTCTCAGGAATGCCTCTTAGCAACATACATAACAGGATTTCGTGCTTACTTCCTGGAGATGCTCCATAGCTTAAATAGCCGGGTTTATTCCTCCTTCTTCTGTGATGGCTAAGGACACATGAGCAGCATGACAATCATCTCCGTGCTGTCTTCTATCATGATGCTTTCTTTTGTTTACCTTTTTCTCTTTCAGACCCGTCTTTGTTGTTTTTAGTCCCTTCTATTTATTCCCCTCTCTGTCTGGAATTCTATATCCTATTCCTATTATACATTCTGTTCCTATTTTTCTGGTGGATACTGTTACATGTACACTTGATTGTAAATTTAAATGTGATACACCTTTATCTTCCTTTCAAACAATACAAGAATTTTGAAATATCGGTTTCTCCTTCAGTATTTCAGGTTATGATCACCTAAGCTTCCAAATGAATCATTTATACTATTGGGTTTTAGTTCCATTTTTATTTATAATTATTTTATATTGAAATATGCCCCCCCAACTATGCCACTTTGCCATAAGAATTATTTGAAACTGAAGGTAAGTGAGAATTAGAAAACAAGAAATTGGTAGCTCTCTGCACCTCCCCTATTTGCCTAAATGCAAGAAATATCTATATAAAGATGTCCACTTCTTCTAATAGAAAATAAATAAATCACTGGCGATAATTCCAGACTCCTGCTACCCCCAAGATGGAGCCAAAGGAACACATATAACGAACTTCATTAACTAATCTTCTAATCTTTATTGCTCATTAATTCCCTATAGATTTTCTAAGAAACTCTTTTCTTTTGTCTTATTACTTCTTCAAAAATGATTGTTCTTTTGTCAAGATGCTACATAAGAGCACATTTAAATCACCTCTTTTATAACTCATTTCCCTATGCATATATTATTAAACCTTTTTTTTTTTTTTTAAGATAGGGTGTGCGATGTCTGCTCAAACTGGCCTTGAACTCACTATGTAGTTCAGGCTGGCCTTAAACTCATGGCAACTCTTCTGCCTCAGCCTCCTGAGTGCTGGGACTGCACACATTAATAAAACACGTATGCACTGATTTTGGCAAGCTGTCTGGTGTCAATTGGATTTGCGGAATCCTGGCCACAACACCTAGCATGGCTAGAGGAGAGACAAAGAAATTCTTTCCTTCCCTAATAGACAATCAGTGACTTTTCACTAAATTTTACATGGCTGCTTGCATTTCTCACCTTTCCTGTGGACTGAATCTTTTTCATACTGCATTAACTAGTACTTCTAGAAGAACATGCAAGCAGTAATTTCTATGAGTAGTTCACTACGTAAGCAAACCTCAGATGCAAGGAGCAAATTTTTGCCTGAAAAACCTTTTTTTTCCCCTTATTCCACATAATGATTTAGTCTGTCATAAAATTCTAGGTTTCTTCTGCTTTTTACTCAATTCTTAAAGGTTATTCTCCTTTACTGACCTGGCATTTATTTTACCTGATGAATAGCTTATCAGTTTAACTGCTCTTTTATTTATAGGTAATTATCTTTTTTCTTGGGTTGATTTTACATTTCTTTCTTTGTCTTTTTTAGTCAGCAATTTCACTACGATGGAATGGATTTGTTCTTGTTTATCTCAAACAGGACTTTTGTGCTAATTTTAAACAGCTTTAATTCCAATCTAGAAAAGAAAAATATGACCACAAACTTCCCTTCTCCCTGTTTTCTCCCTCAGGCTCTCCGACAAGACAGAATTCTGTGCTTTTGCATTCTGTCTCCATGCCTCTCAGTTTAATAATGTCTACACCTTTATCTCGTGGCCTTCACAGCCAGCAACTTCAGATCTGATTGAAAGTTCACCGATTCTTTATTCTGTGTAATTGTCAGTTTATTTTGACCAAGATATTAAATGATCAGCATATTTGCAATTTTAAGAAGTTCTACCTGGCTGTGGTGGTGCATGCTTGCAATCCTAATTGTCTGTGAGACATGAAACAGTCACGAGCTCAAGCCCTGCCTGGACAGTTTAGCAATTTAGCAAGACAGTATCTCAAAACAGACAAAATTAAAAGTGCTTAGCAACACAGCTCAATAGGAAGGCTCAGGTTCAATCTCCAGTACTGGGGAAGACGGGAGTTCTATTTGGTATTTATTCGGTTATGCCCACCCTCTTTTCATGTTGTTGATTCTTTTGTCAAAGACTATTCTTATCTTTAGTCCACTGTATCTTTAGTCTTATCTTTAGTCCAAATTAAAGCCACAATGAAATAACCACTTGGATATAACTTTAAATAATCATTATACATTTCTGCTTACTTCTTACAGTATTGAGTCTTCTACTGAACGCAGGAAAATATGCTGATGCAGACTCAGGAAGTTTCTATTTTTAGTGTGTTTTATTGTGAGCTCAAAATCAGCAAGGCTTGTTTTGGGAATTCCATGAGTTCCAACACATGACACTGAGGTTACATATTTACTTCCACTGAAGCCTTGGGGATTTTAATTGTCCTTTACCAGTTCTGTGTTAATTTTTCCACTGAGACTTGTCTTTCTGCATGGATGATAACTGGAGCTGAAGGTTTTGATTGCTTACTGGTAACATTTTTCTCCTTCTCCACTCAAGTCCCCATGCATAATTCACATGTGTGGCATACTCCTCGAGGAGTCACAGGCCCCTCTTTATGGAAGGAGGCTTCCTTAGATTGAGCACAAAATCTCACACGATGTCACCTTACCCAAGAAGAGTGTCATCACCCAGGATAGCTGATCCTTCCATCAAACACTGAGCCAAGGTTGTCAAAGGCAACTTTTTCTGAAAAGAAACAAATAGCAAATGAATATTACTTTCAATAGTCACCACTTAGTCTAAAAGAGCAAAAAGTCATGTACCTGCCTAGGTACTATACTAGCCAACTGACTTTAAATATGTCTGAAACTGACAGACTCAGTATACAATGATGCAATAGACTTAGAGATATCAAAATGGCGAAAATTAAAACAGGATTAGATTTAATAATTAGGAAAAGTTAGCCAAGGTGTACAGACTACATTTTAAAGTGAAACAGTTGCCAAGAAGAAAAAACGAATTTCCAAATTACATTAAAAAAGATTCGAGCAATTTATGAGTTTCCAAAAATCTATTTAAAACCTACCCTAAAAGTTTGTAAGTTCCACTTTGTAAACAAAGTCACTTATGATCCAGACAGAAAAGTGTTCACATATGATTATAAGACAAAGTATCAAAACAAAGGCACCCTCAAAAGAAATACATAAAAGGCTATAAGCACATGAAAACATACTTTTCACTAGTCATCAGAAAGTCCAAATTAAAGCTACAATGAAATAACCACTTGGATATAATATTAATATTTTTAAAAACAGAACCTGCATATTGGTAAGCATGTGTAGAAATGCATTATTAGAGGGAATGTAAAATGGCACTGCACTGGAAAAGTTTAGTAGTAACTCATGTATGTTACAAAGAATAACCATATGGCACAGCATTTCCATTCCTAGGTACATACTCAAAGTGAGAACAGATATTCTAACAAAAATGCACATAAATGTGAAGAGTAAAACCCAAAAGGTGGAAACAATTTGAACATCTACTGATAGATGCATAAATAAAACATGTGATTTGTACATATTACAAGATATCATTCCACTTTGAAAGGAAATAAAGTCCTGACATGGACTACAACATGTATGAACCTGAATAACATCATGCTAAGTGAAATAATCCAGATACAAAAGGACACATTGTATCACTCTATTTGTATGAAATGTCCAGAATAAGTAAATCTATAAAGACATAAAGGAGATCAGAAGTTACCAGAAGCTTTCAGGGGAGGAGGGCTGAGGAAAGACTCTTTAATGGCATTGGGTTTCTTTTTGGGGGTGACAACAATGCTCCAGAACTAGATAGTGACAATAATTGCACAATATTGTGAGCATACCAAGTGGAAAGATTGCTGTGAACTTTAAAATGCAGTTTTGTTAGAGGCAAGCTAGGTGTTACGGTTGGGACCTGGTATGTCTCCCCACAGGTGTCATCATGCTGAAGGCTGGTGGCTGATGGGCTTTGAGGACGTGAGGGCATGTGCTCTACCTTTACCAGTGGCACTGCAGAGAAACCACAGGAGGGAGTGCATCATGGGAACATCACCTTGGGGACTGTACCTTGTCGTCCCTTCCCCCCCCCCCCCCCGCTCCTTCCTGGCTCATTTGCTCTCTGCTTCCTACCTGCCATGAGGCCAGCAGCTTTGGTTTGCTAACCACTTCCACCATGATATTCTGGCCTCGCCAAACCTTAAAGCAATGGAGCCAACTGAGCATGCTCACACTGAAGCAAAATACAACTTTCCTTTTTAAATTGCTACTCCCAAGTATTTTGTCACAGTGATGTATAGCTAACATGCTGTTAGAAAAGTGTAGCATAATCTATCCCTTCCTCTCTAAGGGTCAAAAGCCCTCTCCTGATGGAACCAAGACTAAACAACACTCAGAGACAGTAGAAAAAAGTTAGGTAGGAACTGGTAGCATAGTCTCAGGTCTTGCAGTCTTTCTAGCCATAAGGAAAGTCCATTTACCATGGAAAGTGACTGACATATCCAGCCCAGAGTGTCTTGGTACTATCAACACTCGATAGTTCCCACTAAATGCATTTACAAATCCACAGCAGGTACTCCATGCAGGAGAAGCACCATACCAGCAAAACAAGACACTGCTCTTGTCACAGGTAGCTGAGTTAGACAGAAATATTACAGGCAGTCGGATAGAGCTGGGCCCTAAAAGAAACCAGTGAAGAAGGCCAGATACCTTGTAACTGTGGGGAAGACATTCATCTACCGCTGTGGGTCAGACCTCAAGACAAAAGATCAAATAAATTTACATTCTAAGGATAAAACATTAGGGACTGATACTCTAAATAGATCTCTATCATCCTGAGGAAGTCAAAAAGAGCCATTAACCTAACAGGCAGAGTCCTCATCCACTTGCTAAGAGAGTGCTTCCCCATTGGTCCCTGACTTAGTCAATCTTACCTGAGCAACTGTACTCATAATCTTATTGGTTGGTCATAGTTGTGTCCCACCTTGTGCCTTCCTTGGGAGTTCCCATTTTTCCCACCTTGTCCCTGCTTCACCTGATGGTTTTGGTCTGTAAAATCCCTACAGAAGGTCGAGTCCTCAGCAACCCACTCAGGATCCCTTCTGTCTTTCAGACAGAAGCTTTCTTTCTCTTAATAAACATATTCTCCTCTTAACCTCCGATGTTGCTAAAATTCATTCTTTGATTTTAGAGAACACAAACCCAACCAGACATCTAATAACCTGGGAGTTTCTTTCCCGTATATCATTTACAAATCTAGTATGTATAGAGGGCAGGCACTCCATACAGGAAAAAGCACCACATCAGGAGCAAACAAAACTATCGACACTGCTCTCATGGAACTTAACTTCTACTGAGGAGACAGATAATAAACACCATTAGATGTGTGTCTTCATTTAGCTCCCATCAGTGTCCTTTTAATAATCTTTATGACAAACTGGTAGGTACAAAGTGTGTTCTCTGAGTGCTGGGAGCCACTGGTCACAAATGCCAGAGACCAGGATTTGCAACTGGCCACTGATATGTGGACAATTTCATGGGACAGAACCCTTGGTTCATGGGATAAGAAGCCAGGAATAACATCAGGTAAACAGTGTCAGAACTGAATTACAGTGTAGGACACCTAATGGGTTTGGAGAGCTGAAGAACTGCGTGTGTGTGTGTGTGTGTGTGTGTGTGTGTGTGTGTGTGTGTGAGTGTGTGCATAGGGGGAGTATCACATATTTCTGGTCACAGAAGTGTTGCGTATGAGTGTAGACAGTATGCTTTGCACAAAAGTTGGCTTAACATCCCATTGTGAGCTCACACAAAGGGAACAGGTTAAGATACTATTTCTCAACCAGGGGTGATTTTGTCTTTCTGGGGACATCAGGTAGTAACTGGAGACATTTCTGGTTTTCTCTATGTGGGAAATACTACTGGCATCGAGTGAATGGAGACCTAAAATTCTGTTCTACATCCCGCAATGGACACAGCAGACTCTACATCAGGGAACTGGTAAGCTCAGAAATCAGCAGTGTTAAGGCTAAGGAATCTGTTTTGTTTGCAGTTATCTAAAACTTGCAGAAAGCGAAGGTGCTCCAACCTCAGTTCCAGATCATATAGTCATTCTGGTCCACTCTTATAAAAAGGCCATCTTTGTTTGCAGCAAACAAAAAACCTCATGACATACCTTCAGGGAAAGGTTTTAGCTTCCCTGAATCCTCCTTCAAACTTCGACTAAGCAGCAAAGGAGGATTCTGCCTAGCACAGCATAAAGACCAGGACTGGACAGCCATTAGAGAAACACAACTACCTGTAGGCGAGGAGTTTACAGAATTATGGAAAATCAGACTAGTCTGTGAGTTGAGCAGCTAACTGCCTATGAGTTACTGAGGTTTACGTCAGTGTCAAAGGAACAAGGGCAGCCACAGACGGGGCACAGTCTTGGAAGGAGGCAGGTGAAGGGTGGCCGGGGTCAGTTCTACATAACTCAGAGACGAACACACTGCTCGAAGTAACATGCCTGGGTTGCCTCACTCCCCAGCTTGGTGGGCAATGGAATTTTCCACCATTCCTCACTTACCACTCACACTGACGATGCTGAACTGTTAGCATTAAGTGATAAAAACCACAAAATAAGAAAATCATTCCTAATTCAACAGGTGTTTAATTCCCAATACTTTTAACAAGACACAGACAACACGACTTCCCCATTTCATCTGCTCTAGCATACCTACTTACGAATATCCATTTAATTTTTGAGCTGGGTCTTACCTTTCCTCACACAGAGAAATACTTTTCATAACATTTCCTGTGTTTATCTATTGTGCCACCTTGTTTTCAACATTCATTTGTAGCACTGGGGGTCTCCTTTCAGGCCAGCTAAGGGCTACACCAGTGAGCTACATCTCAAGGCCTCTTTCCTTTCTTAAACAGCTACATAAATGATTAAAAGATGGCAATGTATTTACTCAGGCCCTCTACCAATGCTGTCAGCATCCCTCTATGTGGGAAACTGGGGTGAACCTAGGGCTTAGATTCTAAGTAAAGACAAGAAAGCAAGGGTTAAATGAGGAAAGCTACGTAGAATATAATGAGTTTGTACTTAGGACAATGCTTTAATTAAGAATCAGCAAACGGGGGCTGGGGATTTAGCTCAGTGGCATAAGCGCCTGCCTTGCAAGCAGGCAGTCGTGAGTTCGATCCCCGGTACCGATAAAAAGGAAAAAGACAAAAAAAAAAAAAAAAGAATCAGCAAACTGAAAGGAAGCTGCCACATGACACATGGAAGTAGCAATTCTTTCTATCTCTAAATTCTCTGGATGAAATATAAATTGAGGGCTCAGTACAACCCAGGCACTCTAGCCCTCTCACATCTCCTCCTGTCTGTCAGTAAGGTACCATTGTTCTCACCAACGCCCTTTGCTCAGCCCCAGTGCATGTATCATAAAAACATGCCATCTTCAAAGGAATTAACTGCCCACAGGACTACAAAAGCTGCCACAATTTGTTTCCCTCTGCTCTCCAAGATCCATGCTGAGAGTTGGTCCCAATCCTTGGTGAGTATCAGTGAATATCTTAGCAAACTTCATGCTGAGCTGTAATGTTTCAGGGTGAAAAGAAAGTTTTTAAAATAAAATTTTCCCTAGCTCTAGAGTTCAGACAGAACTTTAAGAGACAGAATGTCCCAGGGCTTAAATGCATAAATTTGACACCCCTGAG